GAAATCTGTGTCATCAGATTCTTGAATATCATCCAGGTATTCATCAGAAGAGGGACAGCCCTTCAAATACCCTAAACAAAAAGATAACATAAATTCATAATTGATTAATTTGAACCAGGTTCAACTAGTAGTTCCAAGCTCAATGCCAAAGTGTCATTTTAACAACAAAAATATACCCTAAGCTGAAAATTAGGATTAAGGATATCTCATTCTAAAGTTTTCAGCTCTGGCAAAACTATTCCTCTAGCATATTAATAAAATCAACTGTAACGGTCCAGAGTCTAAAACTAAAGAACAAAAAGTTTTGACTTAAATTTTAAGTTCATGTTTGACTTAATTTAAACCTGAACTTTAACCTTGAGGTTAAATATTTAACCCTGTGGTTAAATATTAACTCGCCGAAATCGACGAGTTAAAATCTTGAAATTCTGCATTTTCCCTATTTGTCTATTATTCAATCANAGATAAATTAATTTTTGCATGTAAACCCAAAAAATGGTTGTAACTGTAAATATGTTTATTTTTCGGTTACGTAAAAATTTTAAAATTAACTACAACAGCTGATTAGGGATAGTTACGTAATATTCTCCGTAAATCCTTTTCTCGATTGGATGAGATTTTTACCGGGAAATTCAAATTTCCATTCAAGGTTAAATTGAGAAAGTTTAATATTTAAGCAGCAACTCATTAATTTATAGAACTTTTAAACTTAAACTTCGCGCATTCTTTAGTTTTAGACTCAGTAAATTATATAATTGAATGAATCTCAAAACCTTGAACTTGATCCTGAAGTATATTACAGAGATCTTCAAATAGGAAAGTATTCTCGTACTTCTTGATTCCCTTGAGTACATGAATCCAGTTCTCCTGGTTGATCTTGAAGCTAGAGACAACTTCCTTGATCAGGTTCCTGGCTCCACGCAGCTCATACTTGTCTCCCAGATAATACAGATCAAACATATCATCAATACAGGATATATCTGAACATAAAGATCAATAAGATCATCAATAGAGGATATATCTGAACATAAATATCAATAAGATCATTAATAAAGGATATATTAGAACATAAAGATCAATAAGATCAATAATAGAGGATACATCTGAACATAAAGATCAATAAGATCATTAATAAAGGATATATCTGAACATAAATAGCAATAAATAACTGACTCATCTCCAATGTATAAGAACTTGATGAGGGTCTGGAAACTAATGAAGGATGGTTTAACTGACCTGTAATAACTGATTCATCTCCAGTGTATAAGAACTGGATGAGGGTCTGGAAA